GTTGCGGCAGGCGAGTGCTAGTGGTTCTCACGCAGCATGAAAAATTCTGATTACCGACATTATCGACAGCCTTAGATTTTTGTCCACTTATGGGAATGCGAACACCTTACGTTGAATAAGATTCAACCTGTCTTATGAAAATCCAGAAGGGCATATCAAAACTCGTCCGACGAGATTTTCACAGAGAAAGGGTGAATGCCAGTTCCAATACACAATGTTGTGAACAAAAATCACCCACATGCGATTATACACGCCCCACGATTGTCCACAGTGTCCACAAGTATCCACAAATAATCCTTTCAGGCACTAACCACTATGCAATTAAATAAACACGTACCGCGATTATGTTATTCGTGAATGTCTACGTGTAAGTACGTGTATCACGATTCTTCCGAGTTACTTACGAATAAAACTGTTATTAATTTTTCAAATACACTTCAATTTAAAAATGTAAAAAGGAATCGCAGGATAAATGAAATTTTCGCATCGATTTACGTTCACGGCGAAGAATGTAACAATACTAGCAGCTGACTGTGCCATCGACCGACGAGGTTCAGAGAAACATATGCCGAACAGGCCCCGATTCTACGTCACTCGCCTCGCTTATCTCTCTCACACACAGCGGAGACAAAGGGCAGCATCGGCACGTGTTCGGCCAGCTAGTCAGTCGGAAAACAGTATCAGTCAAGCTAGTTCACGCGACACATTTCAGTTATGTATTAAGTAGCATGTAAGAAATACAGTGATATAAACAATCAGCGAATACTTATTAAATTCCTGTTTACATTTTTAAATTGAAGTGTATTTGAAAAATTAATAACCGTTTTATTCGTAAGTAACTCGGAAGAATCGTGATACACGTACTTACACGTAGACATTCACGAATAACATAATCGCGGTACGTGTTTATTTAATTGCATAGTGGTTAGTGCCTGAAAGGATTATTTGTGGATACTTGTGGACACTGTGGACAATCGTGGGGCGTGTATAATCGCATGTGGGTGATTTTTGTTCACAACATTGTGTATTGGAACTGGCATTCACCCTTTCTCTGTGAAAATCTCGTCGGACGAGTTTTGATATGCCCTTCTGGATTTTCATAAGACAGGTTGAATCTTATTCAACGTAAGGTGTTCGCATTCCCATAAGTGGACAAAAATCTAAGGCTGTCGATAATGTCGGTAATCAGAATTTTTCATGCTGCGTGAGAACCACTAGCACTCGCCTGCCGCAACCGTCCGCGCGAACCAGCTGTTCAGCGGATTGTCATTCTACAGGCGGAACTTTAAATGTTAATAACTTTGCAACGAAGCCTCCATCAACTAATTAGTATACTTGATTTTCGTCTTATTTTGGCCTCTACTATCGCTCATTAAAATTTTTGCAAGAGGTGGCCGAACACCCTGTATAAATGCTGGTCATCAATTTGTAAAATATAATTTGTTTATAACATTATTTTAAAAGAAATCACAATTTACATAATAACAAAAAAAAAAACAATTTCTTTTCTGAATTCATTGATATATCACATAGTATGTTTGCCTCTTACAATTTTGCGTATTTCAATATTATATATGTGTTGCGCACAAACATCGGGTGGCTGTCATACCAGATATAATGTAGCGTTAATGTTCATTATAATATCTGGTGTTTAGTATGTATACTAGGCACTAGTAAAGTTATTTATAGCTTACAATATTAATAAAAATTACTTTAGCATTTACATATTAATATGCGATACATACATATGGTAAGGAATATAATTAATATAAATTAATGTGCGGTACTATTAACATGATTGGTGCAATTATATTTCAAATGTATGTATACATAGTATAAATTAATCACCTGAATTTTTTACATAATGCATGAAGTTTATAAAATGATTCACTTAATATTCAAATTTGTCGCAGAAGTGATATTCATGAAAAAATGTTTTAAACAAAATGCTTTTTTACACCAAGAACATACTATGTGATATATCAATGGATTGAGAAAAGAAATTGTGTTCTTTTTTGTTATTACGTAAATTGTGATTTCATTTAAAATAATGTTATAAACAAATTTTTTGTTATAAACAAATTATTTTTTACAAAATTGATGACCAGTATTTATATGTACATAAAAACTATGAAACATTTCCTTAAGAAGTTTTCTTCTATCTATGATAGTTTTTGAGGTAGCCTAATGTAGCTGAATCTTTAGGGGGTCGTTTCACCCCCTAAATATGAAAACAGGCCGATATAAAAAAATACGTATATCTTATTTTTCGGTTCTTTAAAACATATCCAAAATTCAGAACAATCGGAGGAGGGCACCTAAAAAATCTTCCTTGTTAGTGACGTATCGACTGCCTCACAGTTTTCTGCTGTTCTACAGGCTGAAATTTAAACGTTAATAATTTTTTAACGAAGCCTCAATCAACACATTGGTATTCTTGATTTTCATCTTATTTTGGCCCCTAGAATCTCCGATTAAAATTTTTCCCAGGGGTGGCCGAACATCCTATACAGGGTGTTCGGCCACCTCTAGCAAAAATTTTAATGAGCGATAGTAGAGGCCAAAATAAGACGAAAATCAAGAATACTAATTTGTTAATGGAAGCTTCGTTAAAAAGTTATTAACAATTAAATTCAAAAATTTCAAATCGTTCTGGAAAAATTATTTTCGGTTGCGGGGGTCAACTACAATCATTTTTGGTGAGTACACATACCTCCGAAATCCTATCTACTTTCGAGAAAAAAAATCGAGTAGGTGCTGAAATTTTTCGGCGAAAAAAAATTTTTCAAATCGTTTTAAAAAAATTATTTTCGGTTGCGGGGATCAATTACAATCATTTTTTATCATTACACATACCTCCGAAATCGTACGCACTTTCGAGAAAAAAATTCCTTACTGAAAATCCAATTAGGTGCCTAAATTTTTCAACGGAGAAAAAAAATTGCAAATCGTTGTGGAAAAATTATTTTCGGTTGCGGGGGTCAATTACAATCAGTTTTTGTCATTAGACATACCCACGAAATCCTGCCCACTTTCGAGAAAAAAAATAGAGAAGGTGTGAAATTATTCGAGAAAATTAAAAAATTGCAAATCGTTGTGGAAAAATTATTTTCGGTTGTAGGGTTCAATTACAGTCATTTTTGGTGAATAGACATACCCCCGAAATCTTGCGCATTTTCGAGAAAAAAATTCAGTAAGAGCGGCACTTTAAACGTTAATAACTTTTTAACGAAGCTTCCACCAACAAATTAGTATTCTTGATTTTTGTCTTATTTTGGCCTCTACTATCGCTCATTAAAATTTTTGCTAGAGGTGGCCGAACACTTATATCTAAACGTATGTTTACATTAGCTACACGATGTAATAAAAAGAATTATACAACGCAAACAAAAAAAAACATTGATAACCTTGTAAACTCCAGAAGAAATATTTTTTGCAATACAATGGATATTTCAAAGTATTCAAATAGTATACAAAATATTTTCTGCACCTCCACAATTAGAGGAGATATTTAGATAGTAAGTGATTAATAAACCATACGCTGATATGCAAACAAATGATCACCTTCCAGGAGAAACGCTGTTATTAGTTCCATTTTACGCTTCACTGCGCATTTCCTAGAAGCATTAACTGCAATACGATTTAGCCAAAGCTCACCATTTGCCTCGAGTGTTTGTGGGAACCTATTATACTTAAATGGCAGTCTTCGACGCCTTAATCCGGTCTTTGCCTGCTCGTGGTTACACATCACCGATGCGAATGCCCATATCAGAGAGCAATTTAAATCTTATTGTACCACGGCGTTCTTGAATCATGAAATGGAGAATGCGTGTACTTTGCTTCGAACGAATTGTGCTCATAATTTAAGTGGATTACCTACAACGAAAGAGACACCCGAATCTCTTATCAGCGGAGGCAACTAAATTTGGACAGAAATTCCATTGTTTATGGGCTGCTTTGACACAAACAAAAATTTCAGTACGCAGTTTCGCGTTAATGGCGCCACTGTCGTTTAATTCGTTGCACTGCACTAATGTCGATACGATGAGAAACATAATGGCATATTACTTAACTAGCTGTTATTCGAGATTTTAACTCTGCTGACAGTTTTCGCTTTTCGACTTTCTATTTATCCCACTTGAGTGTTAATATAATTATAAATAATATATCTTATTCGTTGAAGTACATAGAATAGTGGTGGTTTAATCAAAATTCAGTGGATTTAGAATTCCTTCATGTGGACGCTTATGGTCACACAATGGCGCTTTACGTTCGAGTACTGGTCGACCGTAGGGGAACCCCCAAGTAAAGCTCGCTAGTCGGTCGCAGGGACTTCCCGTGCTTGTGTATTACTATCGAAACAGTTTTATAAAACATCTCTTCTTCGCTACCTTTATAATTTCGCTGTATGGTTTATTAGACCCGAATAAATTACATTTTATATCACTATCGGACCACAATTCAAAACGTACAAAAGCTTCAAAAATCTAAGTCGAAATCGCTTAAATATTTTGTAACTGCATACAAAGATATAGACAAAAAGCAATTCTCGACTTTCGTCCTATTTTGTCCTGTAAAGTTACTTCCCGAAATATTTATCTGGGACATCAAAGTATAATATCAATGAAAAATAATTATTGCAAATAATTTACAATTAAAAAAATGAAACTTGCTTCACTAGTTTTACTGATCGGATGTATTGTATGCCTCTGTTGCACGAACATTATTTTTATCCATCGAAGAACTATTTCTCGGTAATTTATACATTTATAAATAAATTGATGTTCGAATCGAAGAATAAATAACTGTACCAGGAAGACTATATGAAAAGATTATATGATTATACTGAAAAATCCTGTAAAATTTTATCAGCTAACTTTTTATCGGAATATGCAAGTGACTACCGAGGACGCAATTAATTAAGCGAACCTTTGATTAGGATCAGAACATATCATTGGCCCGAACGAACGGTATATCTCTTTGAGGTAGAGAAAACTCACCGATACTCGGAGCCCTCGCTGAGTTGCCTGACCGTAATAGGGAATTCACTGGGTCCGTGTGCCTTCAAGAGTTCCTGTAACCGCACCAACCCTTCGTTGTTCTCGTAGATGATGGTAAAGCTCTTCCAGCCCCAGGCTTTCACCAAATCAACGTACGCCTGAAACACAGGTAGTCATTCATTGGCCGTGATCGTTACCCATACAATGCCGCAGTGTTTTAGGAGGTTACTTTACTTCGTCCTCTAATATCGGATCCCCTCAAGTAGTTTGCATACGGAATTCTAACTTGACTCGAACTATAATGGTGTAATGGACCGCGTGGAAGAACACGAGCCAGCATTATAGCAGTCATTGTATAGCCAGTACGCCCTTGCCATGGTATGAATGGAATGGAATGCAAAGGTAACTTTTAAGCTTTCTATTTTTCCATTTTTCCAGTGTCTCGTGCGAGCCTGGTCGTCCTGTTAAATACTTGGCGACCAGAGCCGCGCGAGGTGCCTTTTTTCCTTCAAGGTTTCGCCTGGGCCTACACTAAGTATTTTCCAGTATCGTTTTTCCATCTTTCTGTCCTGTCTCTTTTTCTCTTCCTTTACTATTAGGGTAAGGTCATGTATACAGGGTGTTCAAAAAAAACCATTGAATATTTATAGGGTATATAGGATACATTGTACTGAGTAAAAAAGCTTTATTAAACATAGGTCGAAAGGTCAAAAACATTTTTGTTTGTTATTATTATAATTGACTTACTACTGAATTTTCGATGTTTACAGAAGATTTTCCATGTGTCCACCTTCCATTTCTACACACGCTTGGCATCTTCTTTTTACAGAATTGCGAACTCTCTCGAAAATTCCACATTTCTGTCGAATTGTTTGACAAGAATGGTGGATTCGGTTACGTAATCCTTCTAACAATAAGTCATTTATCGGAGAGGAATACACTAGGCTTTTTAAATATCCCCTTAAGAAGAAGTCCAAAGGGTTTAAATCGGGGGATTGAGGAGGCCATGCAACTGGTCCACCATGTCCAATCCACCTTTAATCGAACACCATGTTTAAATGTTAAATCTCTCACATTACGCACAAAATGAGGTGACGCCCCATCATGCATGTACCACATCGATAATCTTTCTGCCAAAGGCATATCATCCAAGTACTGAGGTAATGTATTCACCAAGAAGTTGAAATAAGCAACTAATTGTAAGTCAATCATGATACTAGCAAACAAAAATGTTTATATCTCAAAAACGGTTAACCTTTCGATCTATGTTTACTAAAGCTTTTTTACTCAGTACAGTGTATTCTATATACCATATAAATATTGAATGGTTTTTTTGAACATCCTGTATATTGAAGGGAGTTTTAAGAATGACGTTCAGTCTGGTAAAGACGTAGTCGTGGTTATAAAGCCCAGTCAGTTCGAGACGCGTTGCGTATCAGTCTGGTAAAGACGTCGTAACATTAACCTATGTATAGCTACACACCCACACCCGCGAATAAACATTTAATAATTGTGGGACAGATAGTTGAAGTCGTTATTTCAACCATCAGCCCCCTCAGCATAAATGAAACAACGCATAGCTCCATCATAGTTGATTAATCGATATTTAAGAAAATTACGATTTTTTAATTGCAATAGTTAATTCCTTACTAGAAATCTACAATAGACTTTTTCTGTTTGATATTTTGTTCAAAACTAATGATAACTAATTTGTTGCTAAAAGTCGTTCTTAATAGTTGGCCATTAGGATCAACAATTTTCATGTTTTTTTATTCTGTGCATATAATATAGTCTATCTTTGTAAAATATTTCTTTCGTGTATTACTTGTGAATTTGGTGTAAAATCTTCTCCACAAGGAATTTATGTATGAAAACAAACAGCAGTTCGAGGATGCACGATTTCATAGCATAATTCCTTTATCGTAACATTGTGATCTTAAAGACATATTCTAGTCTAGAGTTTCATTTTTTTGGGTTTTCATGAGATTTTTTTTACAAAAAAGTATAAGTCTTGAAATTTGGATATTTTGTATACATATTTATTTATGTCTTACGAATGTTCACAATTTTTTTCAAGCAAAACTAACAAAAACGGACTGAATTATATGTCATTGTACAAGATTCCTTTAAAAAAAAATGTTCTATTGGCTGACATGAATTTATAACTTTCTTCGTTTAGTATATTCACTATAAATGCTTGCAGTTTCAATTAATTTTTAAGTGCGTACATAGTTTCCTGAAAAATCAAATTTTTTCGAGGTCGAGCGACTGGACAATATTTTTTAATAACTCGTAACTCATTTTCAACGATTTTTATTATGTTGCAACGTAAATAATATTATACATAGTTATTTATTACATTCTGTGTGCGTGTTTCTATATATAGAAACAGATTTTTCGATTCTGCTATAAATAATAATTACAACATATTTGTTATTAGTATCTAATTAGAATTCAATTCCGTATTAAAATCATACTCCGACCGAAAATTAAACAATGAATAGTTCATAACTGGACAGTGAATATTGTATACGCGTTAATTAAAATTTGTCTTCGTAGTGTCCTCCAGCAAACATAAATGAATTGTTATAATTAATTTCAAAACCGTCGGAGCGCTCTGAAAGCGGCTCGGTTAACAATTTTCGATTCGTATTCCATTCAAACGTCAGATTGCAATCTGTCCCTACGGAATATCGGTTGACGTTGCCTATAAATCGAAAGTGTCGCAAAAAGTCTATAAGCACCATATCGCGGTCATGAAATCCCATAAAATATCGTGGTCATACGTTCTATCGTCGTGTTACTGATATTTCTAGCCATATTTCCACGTAAGCTTCATGCACTCCATTACAGAGGTGCTGATAACGCTGATAATGGCCATCTATTTTTCTTGATTTTTCAATCTTCCCAAGGCGAAGCTTAATGGCGAAAATTCTACGATTCGAAATCAGTGGCACATCCTATCCATTAGGAAATTATATTTCGTATTACGAGTGAAATAAATTTTTTTCCTACGTTGAAACGTTACTTACAAATTGTTTTGATGGAGTATACCAGTTTATACATATATCTTAAGTCTTAACTTTCTATAATTTCGTGTGGCTCTAGGCATATAGCCATGTACAGTGGCGGCCAGCTACTTAAGACCGCTGGTTAGTTAAGGAAATAAACAGTGCTAATATTTTATTCATTCTATTTTTCGTATACTAAACTCATATGAAATATATTTTGAAGTATGTTATACCATAATATCGCAATAATTTTATTTACAACACAATAAACTGCAAATATTTTTAATATTTTCTCAGATTAGGTCGTTATAACAGCGGACAACTACTTAAGACCGATTCGTGTTTTTCATTTTTTGCTTATTTTCACATTACATAGTTGCATCAGATCCTTAGTTACCATCACTGTTGACATGGTTGCGATGGATCACTGCATTCAAGATCGCAAACAATTACTAATCAGTCAACAATCATGAGTCGAGAGAAGAACATTACTCCTAAACTAAGAATTCAATTTAAATTATTGCGAGATGGGGATACTCATTTTCAGTAATTGCTGCAAAATTAAATGTTTCCAAAACGGCGTGTATACAGGCAATGCAATTCATATTTAAGGCAGGATCAGTTTGTAACGTGTCGCATAAAAGAAGGCCCTGTAATACAACAGCACGAAAAGATCGCATTCTTCACCGCATCTCTGAAGCGGATCGTTACAAAACAGCTGAACAAGTTCTCAATGAATCTGGTGTCGAAATTATCAGGAAAATTAGTGTCCGAACAGTGCGAAGAAGATTAAACGAATTTAATCTTATGGGTCGCATCGCTCGCAAGAAGCCACTCATTTCCAAACGAAACCGAAAGCATCGTTTACAGTTCGCTAAGAATCATCGCAACTGGACAATAGCAGACTGGTGAAAAGTTGTTTTTACCGATGAGTCCACGTTTAATAGAATGGGGTCAGATGGCAAATTGTATGTCCGACGTCGTGTCAACGAGGAATTTTCACCAAAATGCATAAAATCAACCGTGAAAGGTGGATGAGGTTCAGTAAACGTTTGGGGAGCGATTACGTTACAAGGTGTTGGCCCAATTCATAGAATTGAAGGAATAATGGATCAATAGAAATACATTGATATATTAAATGAGGTATTGCTCCCATTTACAAGAAATCAAATACCAGATAACTGGATTTTGCAATCTGACAATGGCCCGAAACACACAGCCCGTAGGGTTAAACAATTTTTATGTCAGCAAAATGTAAACATTTTACCATGACCCTCTCAATCTCCAGACCTCAATCCTATTGAGATGCTATGGGTTGATGTGGAGAAACATGTAAACTATAAAAAGCCCAAACATTCAAATGAATTGTACGCTGTTATTCAAGAAGGGTGGAATAACATTCCAGTCGAGCGTTGTCGTCGTTTGATTGAGTCTATGGCAAGACGTTGTGAAGAAGTGATACGACAAAAAGGGAGTGCAACGCGTTACTAACTATTTGCTAAGTTTTATTTTTCCGCAATTAACTAGTTTCATTAATTTTACCTGTATTTATAGTATTAGTCTGATTTGGTCTTAAGTAGTTGTTCGCTGTCATAACGACCTAATCTGAGAAAATATTAAAAATATTTGTAGCTAATAGTATTGTAAATAAAATTATTGCGATATTATGGTATAACATACTTCAAAATATATTTCATATGAGTTTAGTATACGAAAAATACAATGAATAAAATATTAGCATTATTTATTTCCTTAACTCCCCTGCGATCTTAAGTAGCTGGCCGCCACTGTATAATAAATACATGACTTTTTTCGGGGCACACTTTGGAATTGTGCTACTAGATGAAAAAATAACCTGTACACAATCTGAAATTGATCGGACAACTGGAATGTGTGGTATATGGAATTTGAAAATTTCTTTATTTTTGAAACCCGTTTCTCTCTATTTTTATACTCTGTGAGGAGATAGAAACAAAATTTATGATTTTATTTTTTTTACAAGTCGCTATCCCAAAATTTCAAAAATTTATTGCAGGAAAACAATATACTTTTTCACATTGTATTTACTTCGTTAAATAGTACAAGTTTTACTAAAAATATTTTTTTATATATTTATAATTTATTTCCTTAACTACCCAGCGGTCTTA